TTCAAAGCAGCAGGAGTGTAGAGCAGAGATCAGGATCCTGGCGTTTATGATAGGTCTGATAAAGATAACACAAAACAGGACATTGAAAGTTCTTTATAAAGACATATGAACATCAGGGGTTCAAGAGAATCCTGAAAAATAAGTTGCTTTTGTTCGATCAATAGTAGGAACTACCAAAATTTCCTTGGAAAGTTGTTTAAAAAACCCAATAGAAACATTGGAGCAACTCTGTACAGATGCTAGGAGGGCTACACTACCCACTTCATATTAAAGAGTGAGTGGATTAGAGTTCTTCAAGTACCCAGGGCAGGTGTCCCCCAGTGGCACTTCTTTGCCAACTCACTGCTGCACTTCTTATATACACTGGTGGTCAAGGTTTACAGTTGGCTGGCAAAGAAGCTCTTGCACTTCAAACAGTTGGGGCCATGCTGTCGTGAGTTCATGAGTTCAACGGCCTTGTCGTGTCCATCAGACACTGTTTGCTGTAGTCCTCCCCGGCCTCTGGCTCTTGTAGTCTTTCTGTACCCCCTTGCTCCTCATTCCCTGAGACTCTGGGGTAGGGACTGTGATACAGATGTAGCGTTTAAGCCTGAGCATCCCAGAGACACTTATTCTCTGCACCTTGACCACCTGTGAGTCGCTGTTAACTACCATCCTCTGCCAAATGAAGCTTTTCTGATGGGAATCAAGAACTGCACTACTGGCCAGCAGGGACACATGCAGACAGAATACTGTATGCATAATAAATAAATCTTAAAAAAAAAAAAAGAACTGCACTAATGCATGGGTACAGAGGCACATGTTTGGAAGGCAGTCTGATACAGCATGTTCCTAGCAAAATAATAGTGACAGGTTCTGCTCTAGGGCCTATGACCTTCCCAGCTACGGATCACTTGCTGGATTTACACACACATTTCCTCCTGTGAGGAGGGCCTTAAATACAACCAGAAAGCAGTGCTTTACCCATTGCACTTGGGCCCTTATCTCACCCACAGCCATATCTTGCCTGTCTATTCATTATTGTAGCCCACGGGGGTCACAGCTGGGTAAAACTTTGAATGACTTTCCTCACCTAGCTGCCTGCATAGCACCTTCTAGTGCTATGAAAGCTACTCAGGAAGAAGGAAATTTCCTAGTCTGTACCAGCTTGATCTCTTCATGTCCTGGGACCACAGCATGTGGTGCCCTCAGCAACGGAGTCTTACATCAAGTTCTGGTGGGCAACCAAGATTAATGGCTATTGCCTGTATTGTTTTGGGGGTCTCTGGTATTCCTGACCAACAGTTCCAGGGGAGGATCCCATACATGGCACTGGGCTTTTGTTTTGATAACCTATAGCCTCTGGGAGGATCATTATATCTTGTTGTTTAATGGCATTAGCCATTAAACACTCTCTCTCTCTCTCTCTCTCTCTCTCTCTCTCTCTCTCTCTCTCTCTCACTCACACATTTATAATTTTATACTGGAGGAATACATCAGTGGTTAAAAGCATGTACTACTTTTCCAGAGGGCCAGAGTTCAGTTCCTGGCCCCCATGTTAAATGGCTCACAACTGCCTGTAAGTCCAGCTTTGGAGAACCCGGTACCCTCTTTTGGCCTCTTCTGGCACCTCTACTCATGTGCACATGCCTACACAAAGATGCACATATACAAAAAAACTAATAAAAATAAATCGTTAATGTGTGTATATATATATTTAAGAGGCTAATCGGAGAGTAGGTTTCTATGTGGATTTTCAAACATACTTAGTGTTACTTATCATTCCTTCCATCCCCTCCTCTGTCATCCCCCTCCCTACTTAAACCTTTTGTTCCAAAATTATCCCCTCTCCCCCTTTATAGCTCCTGTGTTCTACTACTATAATTTATAGTATTTTAACCTCTGTGAAAAACATTTCCAGTAACAACTACAAACATATTCTTGGACTTTGCAAATTTGTCTTTCAGCGTTTAAAAATGTCTCAGGGGACTCACTCTACTATTTCTCAGGCAAAGAGAAAATGTAATATTTTTTTTCAAGTTTCTTCTGTGTGTTTATGTATGTATGTCTACATGAGTATGTACACATTTGCGCAGGTGCTGGTGGGTGCCACCTCGGGCTGGTGGCAGAGCTGTAGAGATGGAATTTCAGGTGATTGTGAGCCACCCGAAGTGAGTACTGAGAACAGAATCGGGGTCCTTCAAATGAACAGCAAGTGTTTTTAATTGAGTCATCTCTCTAGCCTTGCAATGGGTTCTTTTTTAATAGGTGTATCCGATGATGAAGGAACAAAACCACCACACTTGAATTACAAAACCTGGTATTTGATCCGGGAGTAGACGAAAGAGCAATAATATCTCAGCATTATAACATGTTTTTATGCTGTAAGATTTGTTTCATTTCTGTGAACCATTGATAGGAATTTTAGTTTAGCCTCCATGGTAGGCAATATTTAAATGCAAAGTATTTTCAGGGGCTGCAAAAATATTGGCATGAGATAAACCTGTAACTAATACCCCATTGAGCAGTTCTTAGATTGTGATAGGTGGAGGCAGACACGATTAACTAAAGATGTCTCAAACACTCAGGTCAAATTAGAATAATGAAATGGAGAAATATAATTCACCTTGCAAAAAGTTGATCTTTTACTACACTTTAAAGACTTGTATTCACATACCTTGTGCACTTTTTGTTTTGAAGGCCTACCAACAAAGCTGGTGCTGGAACAACCTCACCTACAGCAACCGAGGCTTGTATGTTGTTGCTGGGGGAAAGTACTCCTTGCTAAACTTAATTTTCTTACTTGGAATTTTTAATATTGTTTACCCTTTTCCCTTAATTAGTTTGGAGAATTTCATACAATGTATTTTGATCATATTTATTCCCCTCCCCCAAATCCTCCCAGGTCTGCCTCCACTTCTCTACTCAACCATATGTCTTTTATTGTCTTAAAAATTACATTTGTTGCTGGGGGTGGTGGTGGTGGTGGCACAAGCCATTAACTCTAACACTCGGAAGGCAGAGGCAGGCAGATCTCTGTGAGTTCAGGGCCAGCCTGGTCTGCAGAGTGAGTTCCAGTACAGCCAAGGTTACACAGAGAAACCTTGTCTCCAAAAACAAGACAACAACAAAAAAATCACATTTATTAATTTGTTTGTTTGTTTGTTTGTTTGGTGTGTGTGTGTGTGTGTGTGTGTGTGTGTGTGTGCGCGCGCGCGTGCGCGCTCTCACATGGTGGGAAGAGGATAATTTGCTAGACTCAATTTGTTCTTTCCATCATGTAGGTCTTGGGCCTCAAACTTAAGTCCATGGATCAAACTCTGATCGTCAATATTTGACAGCAGAATATTTGACCTTCTCAGTTGTCTCCCATCCCCATGCCTTTTTTTTTCTTTTAAACCCATAGAGTCCAGTTTACACTGCCCATATGCTATTAATATTTTTTCGTACAAAAACCATTTATGTAAACCCTGTTCACATACATGACATCAATTCCAAAATAATCTCTTTGGACTTGGTGTAACATGCTTGGGTTTCCTTTACCACCCTAGCATCCTCATATGAACATGATGTCCTTACAATAGAACTGTGTGACATGTTCATGACTTATTATAGCAAGTTAAGATATAAGCGCTGCCAGGCATGGTGGCACACACTTTTAATCCTAGAATTTGGGAGGCAGAGGCAGGCAGATCTTTGAGTTTGAGAGCAGCCTAGTCTATAGAGAGAATTCTGGGACAATTAGGGCTATGCAGAGAAACTCTGTTTTGAAAAAACAAAACAAAAAAAGATATAAGTGCTAATTTGATTTAAATGTTTATTTAATAAGCTCATCTTAGTTTTGATGAAATACAGGACTACACATTGCAAAGCTAATTCCTTTGTTGAAATGTGTACATGAGCATTTATCTATGAATCATTTTCTTCTCCACTTTGGTATTCAGTCAGTTCACACATGAAGATCAGAGGTAGGCTGAACGTAGAATTATATATATATGTAACCAACCGTCTTATTAAATAAGAAACACAGAACCAATGTAAGAGAAAGCCAAGAGGTCAGAGCTCAGAGCTAAAATCTTACCCTTCCTCCTGTGTGCTCCTAGCTTCCCGAAAGAGAGCTATTTCCTCTGTGTAAGTCGTTTCATAGTCTTTTGTTCTGCCTTCTCATTGGTTGTAAACCCAAACATGTGACTTCCTCATCACTGTCTGTATGTACAGCCCCCCAGGTCTTAAAGGCATATGTCTCCAATGATGGCTGTATCCCTGAACACACAGAGATCTACCTAGATCTTCTACCAAGTGTTGGGATTAAAGGCGTGTGCCACCACCACCACCACCACCACCACCACCACCACCACCACCACCACCACTACCACCACCACCACACTCTTGCTATGGCTCTAATAGCTCTGACCCCTGGGCAACTTTATTTATTAACATACAATCAAAATCACATTTCAGTACAATTAGAATACCACTACAGGTGATGCTTGTCTTTCTGGGTTACCTCACTCAGAATGATTGCTTCTAGCATCATCTATTTACCTGTAGATTTCACATTAAAAAAAACCAGTTATATGATATCCTACTGTATAAATGCATTACAGTTTAATTATCCGTTCATCAATTGATGGACATCTTGGGTATTTCCATTTCCTGGCTACTATGAATAGAGCAGCAATGAACGTAGATGAGCCAGTATCTCTATAGTAAGTATAGAATCCTTCTGATATATGCTCAAGAGAGGTATAGCTGGAGAAGGTGGTAGATCTATTTCTAGCTTTTTGAGGCACCTCCACACTAATATCCATAGTGGCCACACCAGTTTGCACTCCTATCAGGAATGAAGATGTGTTCCTCTTTACCACCTCCACACCAGTAGTTTTCAGCATTTGTTTTTGTAATCTTAGGCTTTCTGATTAGGGTAAGGTGAACTCATAAAGTTCAGCTAAAGAGGCTGAATATTAAAAATATTTTTCAGCCACTTTTATTTCATCCTTTGAGAACTTTCTGTTTAGATCCATGCCTCGGTTTTTTTAGTTGTTTTTTTTTTCCCTTGATGTTTAGTTTAGTTTTTTTTTTATCCTTAGTATATTCTAGTACTAATTCTCTATCAGACATATAATTGGTAAAGACATTTTCCCATTCTGTAGATTGCCTCTTCACTCAAATGATAGAGTAGTCCTTTTCAGAACAAAAGCTTTTCAGTTTTGTAAGATTCTGTTTATTTAATTGTTGATTTTAATGCCTGTGCTATCAGGGTTTTGTTCAGAAAGTTCTTCCTAGGCCAATGAATCCAAGTCTATTCTTTATTTTCTCCAAATTAGGTTCAGAGTATCGGGTCTTATATTTGTAGCTGAAGATTTTCTGTGTCCCAGCCTTCTGGTGGTCAGAACAAATCTCTCTCACCCACCAGTCCTGCAGCTGCTCGGACCCAAGTAAACACACAGAGGCTTATGTTATTTACGAACTGTATGGCCATTAGCTCAAGCTTATTACTGACTAGCTCTCACACTTAAATTAACCCATAATTCTTATGTATGTTTAGCCACGTGGCTTGGTACATTTTCCCAGTTCTGCCTTCACATCTTGCTTCTCATGGTGGCTGGCAGCATTTCCTGACTCAACCCTCCTGTTCCCAGAATTCTCCTCTCTCTTTTTCCCACCTATACTTCCTGCCTGGCTACTGGCCAATCAGCACTTTATTTATTAACCAATCAGAGTAACACATTCACAGCATACAGAGCAATGTCCACAGCACTTCCCCTTTCTTTTTTTTCAAAAAGGAAGGTTTTAACTTTAACATAGTAAAATTACATATAACAAAACAATTATCAAGCAAGAATTACAGTTACAATATCTAGTCTATTTATAATATCTAGTCTATTGTATTTGGCAAAATTAAAGAAGATATCCTATCTATCCTATATTTGTGAGTCTAAGGTTTCATATCTAACTTATCTTTTATCATAACTAAGGAAAAGTATACTATCTAGTCTTCAACTACATCAAAGACCTCAGAAAGATAATATATTACCTAAGTAAACAGGAAGAGCATTGTAAGCAACTTCTAAAAATCTAGAATGACAGAGACAGCTGTCTGCCTGGATAGTCATTGAAAGTTCCTCTGTAATGTTGAGGCATCATGATGGATTTAGCCTTTGCTAGTACAGACCAAAAAAAAAAAAAAAGAGGTTTCTGGGCTACACACTGCTTTGATAGAAGCATAGACTATCAAAGCAGTGCTTCTGAGAGTTGATGGTATACATGGCTCCCAGATCCAGAGCTGGTGGTAAACGTAGTTCCCCTATGGTGGAAAGCTGAGGTGGGCAGAGCCAGCAGCCAGAGCTGCGGTTTCAGTCTTAGTAATGCTGCAGTTTAAAGCAAGAGGTTCACAATAAGACAGATTCAGATGGGATAAACCTCTAAACGGTTTACAGTGTGTGTAAAATGTATGTAGCAATCTCCTCCCCTGGTGCAAAGTTGTTACTTTTCTGCTCCACCTTGCTCGGTCCCCTAAGGGAACATCTCTGCAAGGTTTTTTTCTGCTCAGTCCCCTAAATGATGTCTGCACCAGCAAATGAAGATCTTCACACCCAAGATTCTTTTGAGAAAGAGATTTGGGAAGGAGGAGTCCAGAAGAGTGGCTGCCTCTACCAGGGTGGGAAAGAACACCCCACAACTGAACAGGCAGGGTGGTTTATATAGGATTTCTTAGGGGTGGAGTTTCTCCAGGGAGAAGATTTTCTGTCCAGGGACTGGTTAGTTTTGTTGGTCAGGGGCAGAAACGACCCTGAATTCAGAGCCAAATTGTCTTTCTTTCACTGGCCTTTCTTAGTTGTTTTTTTTTTTTTTTTTTTTTTTTTTTTTTTTTTTTTTTTTTTTTTTTTTTGGCTCTATTTCTAAGGCAGGGGCATATTTCTTTCACTGACTCTGATTCTAGGGACAAAGTGTGTTTCTTTGGCACTGGTTTCAGAGTCAGGGCATGTTTCTGTGGTTCTGGGTTCAGGGATAAAATGTTTCTCTGCCTCAGGTCCCAGACATAGGCTGTGTTTCTTTCACTGGTTCTGGGCTCCAGGTTCAAGGTGGGTTTCTTTAGCTGGCTGGCCCCCTTTCCCTACACCCTGTTCAGTCTATGCTGCCTCTTACCCCAGAGGTAGCCGCTCTCCAGGATTCTTCCTTCCTAGTAAATCTCTGACACATTCACCAAACCAAGTGGAGCCTAGCTGTCAACAACTTTCACCAGAGCCTGAGCCCGAGCAGAGCAGAACTCTAACACTTTTGCTGGGAAAACTTTCCAGTAGTGGAGCAGAGCAGAGCTGTAACAACTTCGCTGGGAAACCCTTGCCTGCCGGAGGAGAGTTCTTAACACTTATATTGGGGAAACCTTTCTCTGGAGCAGGGCTATAAGCTGCTATGCTTATGGTGACTTTGTGGTATTCCTTGGCTCCCAGCTGCCAGGATCTCCTTCTATCTGAGCTGCAATGCTTACATGGAGGAGGAGGAGGAGGAGAAGGAGGAGGAGGAGGAGGAAGGCCAGACATAGGCTGGAGACATATGAAACCCAGGATAAGTGAGCTACAAAGTATTTAGCTAAGCGCCCCCTTAACCTTTGCAGTCTTGAGAGTCCAGGCAAACACTGCTTCCCCGCCAGCCGCCATGCTCTGCCTCTCCAGTTGGAAAGAGGGGAGCCAGTTAAGCTAGCAAATAGATTGGACAAATCTTGGGGCGGGGGTGGGGGCAGTCTCTCCTTAGGCTGGCCAGCCAGTGCGCACGCTCCTGTGTTTATATGCGTTGCCTGGCAACGGAGGAATTTCTCCACCTGCCCCCTAGGACAGAAGTCTTAGTGCTACTGTCCCACTGACCCATTGAGCTTTGGCGGTTGCAGTACTATCTTGGTTCCCTTTTAGAACCACGTCTTCACGTTCCTTCTGAGGGCGGCTGACGGCTGGGGAGGTTGGCACCAGGGGCCGGGAAGGTCCACCATTAGCACCATGAAGGAGATCCTGGGCTTCTGGAGTCAAAGCCAGTTGTCCTCACCATCCTCCTCCAACCCCAAGGGCCCTTTCTGGGTGCTGGGCTTCAGTGTGACTGTTGGTACCCTCCCCTCTCCCAGACACCTCAAAGGCTATACAGCTTTCGGAAGAAAGGGCCATAAGGCTGCGAGCTTGGGTGAGGACGTTGCCAAGGGGCAGCGCAGGCTCAACCTTGGCAGCAATGGCAAGAATGATCAAGACTGGAAACACAGGTGACTGGAACTGGCAGGAGGACAAGAGGCGGGCTGGGGAGGTGAACTACTGGCAGATAATAGGATAGGAATTTTAGAAAGAGGGAAAGAAAACGTCAAACGATAAAAATAAAAAGTATAGGTGTTGTCCAGTATGGTGATATTTTAATTGTACTGAAATGTGATTTTATTTGTGTGTTAATAAAGTTGCCTGGGGGTCAGAGCTAATAGCAAGCCATAGCAGAAACTGGGTGGTGGTGGTTCATGCCTTTAATCCCAGATCTTGGGAGGCAGAGCTAGGCGGATCTCTGTGTGTTCAAGGATACAGCCAGCTTTGGAGACACACGCCTTTAATCTCAATACCAACCATAGAAGACCTGGAGGGCTGTACAGACAGGCAGTGATGAGGAGGTCATGTGGTTGGATTTACAACCAATGAGAAGGCAGAATGGAAAGTCTATAAAAAAGACATACAGGAAGTAGGTCTCTTGGCTGAAGAGGACAGCAGCAGCAGTGAAGGGTAAGGCTCTTAGCTCTGACCTCTTGGGCTTTCATCTCTGCATTGGCTCTGTGTTGCTTATTTAATAAGACGGTTACTTCTACAGTCCAGTAAAGAGTGGTCAGCCTTGAAACCATAATACACACAAACAACAAAAGTGGATGCAGCAAGCTGTATTTATACATATTTGTGCGTGCACACATGCCACACTACACACACACAACAGAGGTAATCACAGAAAAAGTTTATCAAGTGAGGGAAGCATGGTAAGAGTTTTGGTGAGGATAGATGGTAGAGGCTGGAGATTTAAAAAAGAAGGGGAGATGATATAATTCTACTTCAGTTAAAACATTAAAAATTAAAATAAAGAGCCGGGCGGTGGTGGCGCACGCCTTTAATCCCAGCACTCGGGAGGCAGAGCCAGGTGGATCTCTGTGAGTTCGAGGCCAGCCTGGGCTACCAAGTGAGTTCCAGGAAAGGCACAAAGCTACACAGAGAAACCCTGTCTTGAAAAACCAAGAAAAAAAGAAAAAGAAAAAAAAATTAAAATAAAAAGAAATGTATGAGCAAAATATATGAGGAATTAAAAAGAAAAAAAACTTAGAAGTTACAAAAGAAAGCACAGACAAAAACACCACATAAAACCAATGCCTTGGAGCATCTTCCTTTTCTGTGTTCTCCCAGCAGACTAGCAGGAAGAGTGGGGTGTTGGAGACACTTTTGTCCACACTGATTAAAGTCCTCATGAGTCGAGAGTGGTCCAAGGGTCAGTTCATCGGTGTGTCAATCACTTTAGGGACTTCCTTATTTCCCCTCTTTTCAGCAGCCACTTCTGGCCACGGTTACTTTTGTAGCCTTTGGGCTTCATTGGTTGTCACTTATTCTAGGATTGACAATCACTGAGACACTTTAACAACAGGTTTTAGTGATCTGATTGTCTCTGATACACCCCACCCCATTCAGGAAATGCCTCCTTGGCTTAGACATTAGGCATTCTCAGGTACACAAACTGGCGAGTCTCTATCCTAATGTGATGTGTGGTAAGAGCTGATAAATTTTGTCTGACATCAGAAGACAATTACTAACATGTAATAACGGTTACATGAATAATTGTGTTTTTGACAGTCTTAAAAAGTCTTCATTTTCACAGAACTCATTCCATTATGCCTGTGCACATGGCCATCCTGACGCAGTGACCCTTCTAATAGCATGGAAGTGTGGCATTGATCTCTGTGACAGTGACAACAGCATGGCTCTAATTAGGGGAGAGAGCAGCCAACAGTTTCATTATGACATGGATTTGCTGTAGATGCTGAGAATAGACGTGATTTTCATCTCAACTAAATGCAAATAATTAGTGAAATCCACGGAATGCTTGTCTTGAACTTCTCATCCTTCCTATCTCTTTCTCGATGCAATGCCCATAGGTTTCACAATATGAGCATAAACAATGCATGACCATTTTGAGAACACGGTGCCAATCCAAATGCTATGAACAAGAGTGGGAACACAGCCCTGCACTGTGCTGTTTGGAGTAAGAGCATCTCCATGGCAGCCAAACTGCTGGCAAACCTGCCCTGTTCTGAGTGAAGTTCTCACCACATGCTATGTATGCATTTGAGTCCTGGATCCTCAGCAGGTAGTTCTGCCTTGGAGGCCACAGAGCCTTTGGGAGGTGCTCTCTGACTAGAGGGGGTAAGGCCCTGGAAAAGGTTCGAGGGATATAGCCCAGTTGCCCATTCTAGTCCCCTCTCTTACCACTGCTTCCATGAGGCGACTTTAGATTCCCACGCCACAACTGTGAGCTTTCCCCTGTCAGGCCCACCTGCCACGACAGTGGTGCCTCAGGAACTGTGAGCCAGAATACCCCCCACTTCACTTGTTCCATGTGGGATTCCATAGCATGTGCTAGGGAAGAAGAGGACATTGGCATTGAGGTATGAACACTTGCTGGGGTGAAACCATGCATGTCCACAGGGCCTGTCTTGGGGAAGAAATGCAGGGCTTAGAGATGAGGACTAGAATGCTCTAGACTGATCTGAGCAGAGCTTAGTCAGTCAATCTGGGGAACTGCAGAAGGCCAGGGTTATAACAGACACAGATAGTGACAGATTATCTCAGCAGATTTCAGATGGGAAATGAGGACCCCATTGGAGTGGGGCATGAAAAAGATTGTGGGACACAAGTGTCACAGAATCCGGCTCTGTTTTTTCCAGGGCCTGAAAATGTAAGTGGTGCTGAATGTCAAGGAAATGGACTGTTTGGGGAGGGAATTAAACAAGTAAATAAATGTTGTCTTCCCTTCAGAGGGAAATCACATACTTGTTACAAGACAAAGACCGTATGTTTTCGGTACTGTTTCCAATGATATGAGTAACTGTATGTCGAGTGCTCTATAATTACATTTGAAAGTCCTTTTCATGTCCATAGAACTGCTCTTCATTTATCACGTTTCCATGGACACATGGTACTAATGACATTCCGATTAGCCAGCAACTGCAACATTTACACACTGAGAAGCACATTCAACTCCGAGGAAGGGAGGCTGTAGCCATCTATTTCAACATGAGATGCTTCCATTTAAATGTTTAGAAACATGAAACATCTCATCTTAAAGGAACCAACTGGTGAATCCCATGGGGTGTTTACCTTCAATTCCCTGAATCAACAAACTCTTCCCTGTCATTGTACTCACGGGATGCCCAAAGATGCCAAAAGAAAAATGTGTGGATGCAGATGCAAACAGAGCGGAGTGGTGATTCCCAGGATAGTTTAAGCTGAATTCCTCGAATGGAAAATCCCTGTCTTTTTACAGTGCCACAGACCTGTCAAATTGGGAGGAAGAGATTATATGTGTTGAACCCACATTAAAGACTGCAATGATACCTACCAATGCTCCCACCTTGGTGTCTGTATGCCAGGAACCAGTGAGGGCCTCACACCCCTAGAACAACTCTAGAACTCCATGTGGCAGGCACAGGACTGATCACTCTTGTTTAGAAGCTCAGGCATTCTCTGATAATACTTCAGAATACTATCCTTGAGAAAGTTATCAGTTCAAATTCTGATCTCCAGGAGGAAGAGGTGTCGGGTGTGATTTTCTTCTGTGAAGTCATGACAATCACATGTGAAAACACCCGAATTTGTGACTAAAACGCCCTCTGTTTCTTCAAGTGCCCTTTTAAAAGATTTTTGTAAGAAAAAAACATCAGAGGGAAGCAATGTTAGTTTCGGGACTATCTTCAGCGTTGGACTCAGCACGCACCTGGTAAGCCCTCAGGGGAGTAGGACACTGCCTGCTTGCCCTCTCCCTGGAGCACTGAAGACAATTTGTAGTGGTGTCTGATTCATCTCCAAATATGCTTCTAATTGATAAATGGGCAATTCTACACAGATGAGCAAGTTATGAACTTGGTAAAATATATCCACTTACCATTTAATTCATTCTATTAAAGATTCTACCAGTGAGGTTATCTCTGCTATCTTAGAAGGAATTGCATTGTGGATGTTATGAAAATTGATTCAGAATATATGGCCAGGTTTCTTCTTCAGCAAGGTGTTGATATCTTTTTCAAGGTGTCTCTGGATAAAGTTTATTCTGTTATCCCATTGAAGATAATTGCAACTCGTGACTGTTTAATTAAATTCTGATTAATACTGGAGTCAAAATAACCACATTAGGAGAGACACCACTGTTTTCCTTTAGGGGGACATGGACCCCTGGCAAGAAAATTCTGTTTTTACACGAGGGAAGAGATTTGCCAAGATGCTCTTGGACTCCTGCCATGGGTAGATGACGAGGAGCATGGTTGCCATAGAGACAAATGTCCCTTGAAGGGGATTCTGCTGTGCTGACAGGCTTCATCTGAGAGAGCACGCATACCTGAGAGAACCCAAAAGCAGGGCAGGGTGTCCTCTGTGGTGAGCCTCACAGCAGTAGCACCACTGTGACAATCAGAGCCTGGTGTCCCCGAGGAATATGACATGCTGGCAGGCATTCTCTGGACACCATAAGGCA